TTGGTCTTAAGTAAACAAAATGCTAATTAAAACAAACAATGTTAGGGCACATAGGCGAAGTTTGTGATTGAATAAGATTAGAAAAAGAAACTACATATAATTTTAATGATTTTGATTGATTCTAATAGTTCCCTAATGCTCCATTTGTTTCAATGACATGTTTTTTTTTATTTATTTTTTTTTATTTTATTTTAAACGTTTTATATGATCAAAACTCAATCAAGGTTGCTTAACAACTCTGTTGGTCCCAAGCCCGGGTGAAGAAGGAGGGTTGTGTGTTAGGTAGCTGACACTGAACACGTAAAAAAGTCGCTCGCATCCTTTATGACATTAAACCTAATACTCTGAATCGATTAAATGTTAGGTCGTTCCCCTTAAGTGACGCGTTGCGCCTGCCTCCAGGTGTTTCAAAAAGTAAGCAAGGGGTATCTCATCGACGCCTGGGTGGGTGCAAAATAGGCAAAGGTTTTCAGGTTTTTCTAAACAAGCGCGGATAAAGAAGCTAGTCTAAGATTATAGTTTTATGATAGCCACATGAAATATATGAACTTTAACTGGTAAGACTATAGAATTGGTAGATATCATGATTAGAAGGAGAGTTAGTATAGTTTGCGTACAAGAAACTAAATAGACGGGTAAGAAAGTTAGGGAAACAGCGGATATCGGTTTTAAGTTATATTATAATGGCAAGGATAGACACAGGAATGTGATAGGAATAATAGTTGCCAAAGATCTTGTAGAAAATATAGTTGCGGTCATTAGAAAATGTGAGAGGATTATGTTAGTCAAATCAGTTATTAGAGAGAATATAGTGAACGTTATTGGTGCATACGCCCCCCAGTAGAATTAAATGATTAGACTAAGCGAGTTCTTTAGGACCAACGAATGAGGTACTACAGGAGATACACGTAGAAAATAACCTAGTTATAGGTGATAATTTCAATGATCATGTAGGAGTAGATAAATTAGGTTATGAGATGGTGCATGGTTGGTATAGTTTTGGTGATAGAAATGAGGATGGAAAGAGTATTTTAGATTTTGAGTTGGCTTCTGACATAGTGATGGCCAATATTATGTATAAGAAGAGAGAGGAGTAGTTGATAACCTTCAAGAGTGGATTAATTAGGAGCTAAATATATTACTTTCTAGTAAGAAAATGGGTCCGTCTAAAATGCAGAGATTGTAAGGTGATTTTTAGAGAGAGTTTGACGTCCCAACATAAGATTTTGGTACTAAATTTATGCTTTAAAGGCTAATACCAAGTTTGGAAAGATAGTGAGCGTCAGATGACTAGATGGCGGGACCTAAAAAGGGATAAACTATACACATTTAAGAATAGAATGTATAAAGAAGGTATTTAAGACTTAGAAGATGATACTAATACTACATGGAACTCGATGGCCAATTGTATAAGGAAAATGTCAAGGAAAGTTCTTGGAGAGTCGAAATGAAATGGACCCAACTTTACGAAAATTTGGTGGTGGAGGAAGGAGGTCCAAACGATAATAAAGACGAAAAAAGAGAGTTTTAAAAAGTGACAATATGATAGAACTGAAGAAAACCTTAAGCATTATAGATTAGCCAATAAGAAAGTCAAAAAAGTAATGAGGGAGATCAATTTGAAAGCCTATGATGACTTATACATTAGACTAGATAGCAAGGTATAAAAGAATATGATATACAAACTTGCTAAGATAAAGAAAAGGAAAATAAGATATTTTAATCAGGTTAAGTACATCAAGGGTGAGGACTTTAAGGTGTTGGTGAAGGACAAAGAGATTCAGGAGAGGTGGAAGAACTATTTTGAGAAGTTGTTAAATGAAGAACATGGAGGTAGGTCAAAAGAGGAGGAAGTAGGCAATAATAAGGAAAATTAGGACTATAGGTTCTATCGTAGAATTATGGACTTTGAAGTGGAGTTTACACTTGAGAAGATGAAATTGAATAAGGCTTTAGGACCCGATGATATACTTATTGAAGCATGGAAATGTTTGGGTAAGAATGGGGTTGTTTGGTTGACTAAGTCATTTAGAAAGATTTTGTTGACTAGGAAAATGTTAGAGGAGTAGATGAATAGTATTTTAGTGCCAATATATAAAAATAAAAAAGATGTCTAGAATTGCAACAACTATAGAGAGAACAAGTTAATGTGTCGCACAATGAAGGTGTGGGAGAGAGTGATGGAACGTTGATTGCGAGGCATAATAGAGGTGTCAGAGAATGAATTTGGGTTTATGCCTAGTAGGTCAACAATGGAAGCGATCTATCTATTGAGAAAAGTAATTGAAAAATATAGAGAAAAAAAAAATAGACATTCATATAGTTTTTATCGATTTTGAGAAATCATATGATAGAATGCCTCGAGATATCATCTGATGGGTGTTAGAGACGAAATGGATGACAAAATGTTACATTTATGTGATTAGAGATATATATGAAGGTGCGGTGACCACTATTAGATCGCCTGTTAGAGAGACGGATAAATTTTCAATTACTGTAGAATTACATCAAGGATCAACCTTAAATACCTATCTTTTCGCTTTAGTTATGGATGAGTTGACGTGCAATATTCAAGATGATGTGCTATGGTATATGCTTTTTGCAGATGATAACGTGTTAGTAGATGAGATTAGAGAATGAATTAACACTAGGTTGGAGATTTGGAAAAAAAAAAAAACACTTGAATTTAAAGGATTTAGGATAAGTTGAACTAATACAGAGTATATGGAGTGTAATTTTAAAAACAATCACAATGGAAGCAGGGGAAAAGTAAAGATTGAGAATCAAGAACTACTTAAGAGTGGACATTTTTGTTATTAAGGATCGATTGTCACAACAACTTGGGAGATTAGAGCGGATGTGATCTACAAAATTAAGGTGGGGTGGCTTAAGCGGAGCAGTGTATTTGGAGTACTATGCGATAAACGAATACCCATTAAACTAAAAGGAAAGTTCTATAGAATGGCTATTAGATCAGTAATGTTGTATGTGATGGAATATTGGCAATTAAGAAACAACATATAGATAAGATGAGTGTTGTTGAGATGAGACTATTAAGGTGGATGTGTGGCAAGACTAGAAAAGACAGAGTTAGAAATGTGTATATTCGAGAATGGGTAGGAGTAGTACCAATAGAAGATAAGTTGAGAAAAAATAGATTGAGATGATTTGGTTATATACAACAGAGACCAACAAAGAAAGTAGTGAAGAGATGTAATACAGTAATGATAGATGATAGTATTAGGGAAAGGGGTAGATCTAAATTGATGTGGACTAGTGTAATGAATATAGATATAAATCTTCTTAATTTGACTAACGAAATGACCTTGGATAGAATCGAGTGAAGAAGAAGAATTCATGTAGCTAATATCAGTTGATGAGACTTAAGATTTGGTTTAGTTTGGTTTGGTATTTTATGTGATCAATAGAAAATAAGGTTTTTATTTATTTATTAAATATTAGAAACACTAACTAGCTTGGATAAGTACACCACCAAGGAGTTTTGGGCCATATTGGTTGGATTCTCACCAACCCTCCATGTTGTGTTAGTATATAATTGTACTTGCTTCTAGGTGTCAGCTTAGTTGAGATCATTTTGTCTTTGTATGATACTTTTGTGTTCACCTTATTGTTCACTTTATTGATGTGTTTCCTTCATGTAAGTTGAATTATCATCAATAAAGTTTTTTTTTTATCAAAAAAAAAAAAAAGAAAAAGCAAAAAAGATAAACATGTAGGATTCATCACTTGACCTGTTAATATTGTATTCATTTGATATGTTTGTTGATACATTAACTAATGTTTATAGCATTACTCGAATTTATTTAGACAAAAAATATTTTTTACTTTAAAAGACAAAAAATGTTTTCAAAATAAAATCTTACCAATTTAGCATTGTTCTTTTGCCTACCACCATCGCCATGTTGTAGCTATTGTCACCATCAAAACCACTGTTACTACCAACGCTACCCTACACCATTGCCACCACCACAAAATTGTAGCTGACAAACTAAGGCCTCGTTTGGCAAGAGGCTATTTTAGCCAATTAGTCAAAAAGTTACTAAATTAGTCAAAAAGCCAACAACCCATACCAAAAAGTCAAAGATTCTCTTTTCTCTCTACTTTTTGCACATCTTTTCGTAATTAGCCAAAAAGTCATCCCAAACATACAAGTTTTTTTTACCTACCTTTTTATCCAAATAGCCAAAAAGTTACTAAATTAGCCTATTCCCAAACGAGGCCTAAGACTCTTTTCATTCTATCATTTAAGGTTGTGAAATAATCATTTGAATTTATTACTATTTTAAAATTGAAAAGAATTATTATAAATTCTTAAATAATATAATAGAGATCTTGCATTATAATTTTACAATAGAGAAGATCACAATCCGCAGTTATCAACCCACCATAATTACCAGTATATCAATTTTAACATCACAACTAAACATAAAAATATATATGTATATATATTTTTTTGGTCAAAAAAAATAATCTCCAAACAAAACAAAAAAGAGTGCAAGTGAGAAAGCAAAAGAGCCCGCCAATAACATTCAAAATGATATACACACATGTAATGTAAACATATAAATATGTATACAAATTTCTTTTCTTTTTAGCTCAATCTTAAATTGGTCATTAAAAAGCACTAAAGAGGGAGCCACATGAGAACAAGAATCATGGTCTTCCCCACAACAGGGTCAAAAAAGAAGAAACCCACCACAGAACATACACTCAGAATTCCACCAACAATTAGAAAACATATAGTTGAATACACAAATTTAAAATAAAACCCACACAAGAATGCACAAACAAAACAACATTATAATATGATGAAATGAGAATTGTGGTCAAAACAAACCCATCTCTCTCTTTCCCCTTCATTAGTTGATAAAGTAAGCTAACACAAAAAGCCAACTCACCCATCTTTAGAAAACATATAGTTGAATACACAAATTTAAAATAAAACCCACACAAGAATGCACAAACAAAACAACATTATAATATGATGAAATGAGAATTGTGGTCAAAACAAACCCATCTCTCTCTTTCCCCTTCATTAGTTGATAAAGTAAGCTAACACAAAAAAGCCAACTCACCCATCTTTTCTTTTTGGGCATATTAAAGGAAATTGCAGACAAAGAAGGTGGATTTTCTCTCTGAAGACATCATTTGCCTTTTGATCTTAACCTTTTTTTCTTCTGAGTTCTTATGGATACTGCTCAATGGCCTCAGGTGAGTAAATTTAGCTCCAATTTAATCTCTCTATTTCTCTCTCATTTTTTTATGGTTTCAGCTACTAAGGTCAATTTAGAACACGTTCCTCTACTTTTGAGAAATTGTGGTAGATTTATGTCTGTTTTATGTTTTTGCTAGTAGTAAAATTCAATTTTATTGGTTGCTTTTTTATGAGATGATGTTCAAGGTAAGTGCAAGTTGGACTCACATCAATTTTTTGTCTCTCTTCTTCGCTTTTTTTCCTTTTAAAATTTTTCAAAATTAATTTTAACTTGTTCTTGAAGGATATGAAAGCACTGCACCTTTTCTTTCTTCTTCTTAAGTGATATATATAACTCATAAAGGTATGGAAAAGTTGATAATTGTGATTATCATCTTTTCATTCTTTAGCTATTTCCATAAAACCTCAAAGTGAAGGGTATCTTGTTCCCTTTGTCCTCTAGTTTACCACAATCAGTTTATTACTTTATCTGTTTGGTTTCTGTATTCTTAGCAAATTTGATTTTTCGAGATTTATATTTCATAATCTTTTGGTCTCTCTCTCTCTCTCTCTCTAGGGTTTTCAGGAGGTTCGGATGGTTGATCCCAAGGAAGAGACGCCTATGATGTTGGAGAGGAAGGTAAGGCCACAAAAGGATCAAGCCTTGAATTGTCCAAGGTGCAATTCAACCAACACCAAGTTTTGTTACTACAACAACTACAGTCTCACTCAACCTAGGTACTTCTGCAAAACTTGTAGAAGGTATTGGACTGAAGGTGGGTCCCTCAGAAATGTTCCTGTTGGAGGAGGCTCAAGGAAAAACAAGAGACCTTTATCATCATCATCAGCTTCATCATCCCATAATCTTCCTGATCTGAACCCACCAACACTCTCAAATTTTGCTTCTCAAAACCCTAATAAGACCCATGAAGCCCAAGTGCAAGATCTTAACCTAGCTTTCCCTGGTATGCAAGACTACCTCAGTATCTCTCAAAACAATCACCACAACTCTTCTTCTTCTTCATCTTCTACTTTGTCTTTGTCTACTTCAACACCTATTTCAGCCCTAGAGCTGCTTAGGAGTACTGGAATTGCTTCTAGGGGATTGAATTCTCTAATCCCAACAACAACACCGATGCCGGATTCGAATACACTTTTCAATTCAGGGTTTCCCTTGCAAGAATTGAAGCCAAACTTAGGTTTTCCTGTTGATGGGTTTGGAAGCAGGTATGTGAATCTTCATGGGGTTCAAGAGAATGGTGTTGGTGGGAGGTTAATGTTTCCTTTTGGAATGATAAAACAGAATTCAAGCACAACAAGTGAAGTTGATCATCAAAATAAAGGACAAGGGAATTCAGGTGGATTTTGGAATGGAATGTTAGGTGGGGGATCATGGTAAAGACAGGATGATGACTAGCTAGGAAAGCTAAGGATTTGCTTTTTCTTTCTTTTTTCTTGCTCTTTTTTCACATGGTTGTTCACTTGTTTGGAGTTGTTTAGAGGACTAACTTACAGGATAAATGTGGTGTCTTTGTCCTTCACTTTACTCTTTTGTTGTTGTGAATTTGAAAGCTTCATTTGATTGGTTAATTAGCTTCTTATGGGCTTTTGATGATCAAAATTTGTGCAGTTAAGAAACTTAAATAGTGTGCAAATATTATTGCTTTAACTAAATTCTTGCTTATGATCATGGAGGCAATTGATACGTATTGAGATTTTGAATTTTTGATATTGATATTCACTGATAGATTGTCTGATGTTGTGTGATATTAACCAATTGATATATGATTGTATGACTGATGGTTATTTTTGAAGAAGAACAAACAAAGATAGAATTTGACTGAGAAAATCAAAGAGTGCTATACTTCAGCTTGCACCATGGCAAATTTGCATTAACCTAAATAGCTAGGGCACCGCAAGAGTATGAAATTTAGCCATGAAAGCTTGAAATGATTTGCCTAGCTATAGGTTCTTGTCACTATATAAATCTAGGAAAATAATAGGTTGCTTGATTTTTATCCATTATTATTGTTGTTGTTAATTTGCTATTAGGATTGGAGTTAGAGTTCTTTAATTTCCAGATCTGAGTTGTTGGGCCTGACCTAGCTTTTTTATCCTTAAGAATTGAGCTTCTTCCAGCCATACAAACAGTTTATAGAGAAAGCATGAGCCTGCGGATCCCATGTTATGGTACCCTTGTTTGGTCAGTCTAAATACTTTTTGTTCGATTTTTGTTAGTAGAGGCTCTCATGATCACGCCTAAAAAGTGTTGTCACACGCTAATAACTCCTTATTATTGTTTTTTAAAAGAATTTTGGAACATTTAATCATAGTTGGTGTATCATTAAAAATAAGAAAACCCAACTAACATAATTATAAATCACACACACATACACAAGAACATAATGTAATTCACTCTAAAATTAAAACTACATTTGCAATCGTTACTATTTCACTATGAACAAAAAGATCTAGAGTTATAACAAAAAAGAGATATAACTCGCTCTCAACTACATATAGATAAAGTTAGAATTATAAAGTCACAAATCCAAAAGTTTTAAAAATACTATTATTTCAAAATTCAGATCAGGCCCAGAACCCCCCATCAAGGGGGCTATGCTCCCTTGCAACCCTGTCAACTTATTGTGAAAATGAAAAAAATCATCAATTGATTAGTGTCTAATACTAATCAAAATCGGCAGATTCAAATAAAAAATAAATAATACAAAAATAAAAAACTGTAGGAGTGGAGCATCATGCATGCTATATGTATTTCTCAAATCTTTGCACACCAACTAATGGAATTGATCATCACCAGTGCACCACTCAATAAACATTTTCCCCATTGGAGCCTAACTTAAAACAACATTAATAATTTAATACCAACTCATTACTCACTATAAAGCAAATATGTATTATGGATTAAAAAAAATACCTAAGGTAATTTCACCTGCCTCAACCAAAAGCACACCTAATCATTTTCTATATCCACTAGCTAGAGCCTAGAGAGGACCCCTAACTCTGAGTAATCATTACTTCCATGTTGTATTGTTATCCCACCTCCTAATTTTATTCAAAGACAAAGAAAAATCTTACAACCCCACCACTCTCTAGACTTGCAGATGGAGTGATGGACCCTCCAAACATTCCCTTGGGTAAGAAAAACATCTGTATCTTCCAATTAGTCAATTCTACCAAATCGTTTACAGTTGTTATGTATAACGTCCTTTTCAGCCATATTGTACATAAATTTATTTCTCATTATTTTATTTTTTTAGATTTTTTTTTTTTTTAATAATTGCACTCCTTTTTTTAATAATTGCATTCTAAATTTTTATCATTTTGTGTGGATTTAAATTTTTATTTGGTATTTTTTTTTTTATAATAAGTACAAAATATTAAGTGTATTTATAAAAGAGTATACTTGGTTGGAAACTATATTATATTTGAGCATATCATACGGCAACATAAACAACTGCACTCAAATGCTTCAATATAGCCGGGGTCCACCTCCAGTCAGCTGTCTAATAATGTGGATTTATCTATAAGTTCAATAAATCAAAAGCAAGTGTGACACTCCCTTTCTAGAGTTTCCCCTACCATGTATCTTCAATAAAAATATATAATTCCTATAGTAACTTTATACAAGATTTTTAACTATGAGTTTGGCTCTTATGAAAGGCTTATGAGACTCGTTACATGTCTTACTTCGATTATTTAAATTATTTATTTTATAGGATTCTCAACGTATATTATTTATAAAAAACAAAAAAAAAATAGATTGATTCGATAATCGTAACATTTTATTATATTGTGTCTCTCTTTCAAAAAAATAAATGGTCTATTTTTAAAATATATTTGTAGTCTATTTTTTTAGAGAGATATGACAAAATAAAAAGGTTACGAATATCAAAGCAAACTAATTTTTTTCATGCATGATATACATTTAGGATCCTACAAAATAAATAGTTCAAATTAATGAAACGAGACATATTGTGAGCTCCACGGGCCACTCAAATTCTCTCATATTAAAATATAAATGAGAGAAATCTAACTATTTTAAATACGGTGGTGCTACATGCACCAATTAGTGTACACACTAGTGTACCAACTAGTGTTATGATATCATTAATGACCCTGTTTATTGTATAAATTATAAATACCCAAAACTTCTAAAATTATGCCACATCACTAGTTGGTATACTAGTATGTACACTAATTAGTGCATATAACATTATTCTTTTAGATATAATGATGTGATGGTAACATTTGAATCATTAAATATCATTTTGATAGATACTGTTTTTCATTAAATCATCTGAATAGATATTGTTTTAAATTAATAAAATACCAATCACTATGTTTGTTTCCAATTTTTAAAATTTACTTTTTAAAAAATTCTACTTTTGTCATTTTTCATATTTTTTTGTTTTTACTAAATTTTTTTAATATTTTAAATAATTTTTTTAATTTTTAAACACATCTAACATAAATACACTTGGAAAATATGATACTTATAGAAAAATATTTAAAAGATTCACCAAATACCAAAAATATCAAAAAATTACAAAAATTCAATACATTTATCGCAGTTTTGTGTATTTAGGCCAAGTTTGGCTATCCTAAATAAGTACACACTTTTTATCTTTTTATCTTTTTTCCATCACATCATCTCTCTACTTTTTTACACATCTTTTCGTAAAAAGACAAAAAATACACTTATTTAAGTCATCCCAAACAACCTCTTATTAATTTTTTAAAATATTTGTTCACAAATAATTTACTATTTAGATATATCTAAATAAAGTACATCTAAACAAGTAAAAAAAATTATTTAAAATTTAAAAAATATTTACTAAAAATATAAAAATACGAAACATGAAAAACAAAAAACTCAATATTTAAAAAACTGAAATCAAACACGTTTAATAGAACCATGTTATCATGTTTATAAATTTTGTGATTACACGACCTATTGAAAAAGCACATCACGTGCGTAAAATAGGCACTACTTGCTAGAAAATTTCTCTTTCTGTAGCTTTGGACAAATGAATGGCTATTTCAGTTGCGCCTCACACACTCCTTAGAGCTACATTCAGAGGAATCTCATTCTAGTTTCCATGCACACCTTGAACTCTAAATTTGTGAGCTCTGTTTAGGCCTTCAAGTACAACACAACATAGCACTAGTATGCAAAATGCCCATCATTCTCAGTGCAATGTCACATTCTTATGTATTTGAAACACCCAAGCAATGCATTCCCCGAACGGAAAACCCTAAGTCCCTTCGAACACAAAAAATTTCACCATGTAATGTATGCCATTTTGTCAACATTAACTATTTTTCAAGAGTCAATAGAGTCCGGGTACATGAGAATTACAGATAGCATTTGTAAGATATTCGATAAGCTGACAACGGCACTGTGATCCCCTTGCTTCTCTACAAAAAATAACTCAATACAATTATTCCTTCAACTGCAAGGGAAAACAGCTCGTGAAAAACAAAAAGATGGCACAAAAACATTATACTTCCCATTTCTGGTTTCTATACAGGGATATAACATTTTAACAGAACAAACAAAGAACCAAGGGCAGGGTTTTACACCAGTAAGATGATTATGATCATAATCCAGGCTCGATTCACTGATCTCCATTGATTCCAAAGATTCACTGATCTCCATTGATTCCAAAGATGCGGACCTTGTGCATATTGGGGAACTTGGCAACAACTAACACCATCACTGCAAGAGTGTTGAAGAAGAGCATTGGGTGTTGGTAGTCGGTTGTGTGTGAGGCTATCAAGTACCTGTCAGGAATAACAAACAGAAATTGAGGGTTATTGATTGGCCATGGCATTGAGTTATCTGTAAATCCCATTAACTTCATAGTAGAGACTTAAGTCTGACATCGGACAGCAAAAATTCATGTGTTTTAACTGGTCTGCCTAATTGAAATTGCTTCCAATTTGACGTCCAAAGAGTATATCAAGATGAGAAACGAATAAAAAGAAGCTAGATAAAAAATTGACTAATGCTATATGCACCAATTAGTGCACTAACTAGTGTACCAATTGATGATGTGACATAATTTAAGATGTTTTTGGTATTTGTAATTTGTATAATGAGTGGGGTCAAAATAATGTCATAACTAGTGTTGGTACACTAGTTAGTACACTAATTGGCGCATGTAGCACCACTCCAAAAAATTTCCACAACAAATCAGTCTATATTTTACCGACATTGATAAACACAACATGAACCACCATACAAAGAGTAGTTTGTATCCCATGTCATATTTCAATTTCAGCTGTCTCTAAAAACCCAAAAAATTCAAATGAAATTCTCTGTTTTCGAAGATGCTATGTTAAGATTCCGTACATAGCAATGATATGTGTCTTCATCACAAAGAAAAGTATATAATAGCTCCATGTGTGAGTGTGTGTCTGGCTGAAGAAGTACTATCATCATCAAGTAGTGTATTAATCTTTTGGGGTGATTCAACTAGCATGGTATGTACCATGTATTGTAGAATGTCAAAACACAATTACCTAAAGGTTGGAAGCTACGTTCCATAGAACACGTTATTGACCCACTCATTCGACTTAGTCAGATTGTTCAACATTTCTCTTTTCTTTTTAATTTGATTAAAGCATAAGCCTCTCGTCCAAACTAAGCTATGAGTTCAGAACAATATTTCATTTCACACACGGCTTCTATCAACAACAGGAATTGTGGGCATCACAGCTCCTCTCACAATTGGATGTTTAGTAATTAGAGAGAAGTTGGGCCTTTTCATTTCAAATCAAATGGGTTAGGATTGTTTGTAGTCCACGTTAGTAGATTGGACCATGTAGTCCGGCCTGTGGGATCCACCAGTGGTTCCATTCCAGAGATTTGAGTTGTTCATTTCCTAGGCCTCTTTGTGTAGATCATTTTCAAAAAAAATAGATAATCATTGCCACATGATTTAATCATCTTTGTTTAAAAAAAATAAAGACGATAAGTATGATTTTAAAAATAAACTAATCTTTTTTTTTAAAAACAAAGATGATGAAATTATGTGACTACAATTATCATATCAATTTGATTTTTTTTTTTTAATGAATTATATACAGAGGGGTTTACAAAATGAATGACTCATATAAGTAAAATGGGACATGTGGTGAGCGCATGGGCAGGACTGTACGGCCTAATCCACTAAAGTGGACTGCAGACAATCCTGATCCAATACTGTATTACAAATATTACTCTGCATTTACAAACATACACAAGCTAAGAAACATACTGTTGTACATCACTAAATAAATTTGAAGCAAGTTGATGCATAATATAGAAGACAGATTCCAATACGATTATGCAAAATCTACATATCCAAACTAATAGGCTGATACAATAACTTACAGCACCACAGGTACAACGGTTAGGAACTTTCTGTTGCGGGTGAGCTGCTTTCCATTGTCAATCTGCTCCCACCAAGTCAGCGAATTATAGATACCCTGGTCATCAGCAAATGGAGTTCCTTTCTTCCAATGGAAAAAGTGATAAGTGACCTAAATAGAGAAGCATACTCCTCAATCATGCAATATGAAGGCACAAAGATAACTAAGCTAGTGCAGAACTATCAATTGAAAAAGTAGAGAAGAACCAATATTTCAGCTTATCAAATACAAGTGTGTGAAAGCCAAAATCATTTCAGCTTATCAAATATATATCATCAAATAAATAGTTTTCTTATCAACTGTTAACGAAAGAAGTGACACATGGTCTTTGACAATTTAGCTATTCAACAAAATATTTAGTACAAGGGACAGTAGCATAAAAATTTCAGGATAATAACCAATGGCAGAAGAGGCTTAGGAAGTTCAACTAGGGTTGTTCAAATAATTTCATTGTAGTAGCAAAAAAAAAAAAAAAAAAAAAAAACACACACACATGATTGATCACGTAGAAAGCTGAGAGAGAGAGAGAGAGTAATCATGCACCACTATAACAAGTAATTCTACCATTTAAATCAACTGAAATCCCAACTACCAAAACCCAAGTGATTGGAACCCAAGAGGACAAATAACCATAATTCATAGAAAATTGACAACTAACAAGAACACTGTTATGGTATCACTAAACACACAGCTAGCAAAGTGCTTATGGCTTACCACTGTAACAATACTAAGCTAAGTCTATAACTTAAATTTTCCCTTAATGTAGATATTATAGGAAGGTAAAGTCTATCAATTTAAGACTTGGAACAAACAACCAAAAGGAGTTTCTGTGTTTCACGTAGATATTATAGGAAGATAAAGTCACATTATGATTCATTATTGACAATAAAGCCATAAAACATCCTTACCCTCCTCAACAAAAATGGGGCCTAGAGATGAGAAGAGAAGAGAAGAACTAGTTGGACTTCTCAGTTTATTTTCATGATAAACATCATTTGTGAGTATCTGGATTACCCTTGCTACGTGGCGAGCCTCACGGGTGCTACATCACATCCACCTAGGCTTATCAACCTCCACATGGCAGTCCTCACGGATGTCAAAATGTCCCCCAAGCAGACTAATTGGGGTTATGTGCCTAGCCAAAGTGGGGGAGCACGTACCACATGAATAAGACTGTCAAAGTATGGTAAGCCAATGCATTTGGTAAGCCAATGCATTGATAAGCCAATGCACCACATGAATAAGTCAATGCATGAGAAACTTGGAGGTGTGGCCCACAAAACTGCTCGGCCAAGCCATGCCTTGATTACTCGACCAAACCCACTCTGCAGTGTCGTGACTTGACACTTTATAGCTCAATTGGATGAGTTCTTGCCAAACCATGGTTCGTGATCCCTCATACCTCATTCCTATAGGGTATGCTAAGTGATTAGAAGTACCACTTGGGCCAGACCAATGCAACTTCTCAGCCACTCCCACTAGACAACAATATAGCCAGACTTGTAGTTTGGTTATGCCTCCCCTATACCCTTTTCCCTAAGTTGGGACTTCTACCTATTATTATCACCATTGCCACCAATTTGCCATCCTATGCTAGGAGCTTGACCTAGGCATTCACTGCTCAGGATTGTTGGAGGATTGTGACTTGAAGACTAAGACTAAGGGCTCGTCAAGGTTGTTTGGCTCGTCCCCCTTGAGGAACAGACCCTCTTTGACCAGTCTTAGAGACAGTAATGCGGAGACCCAAATACCTGACACTTCAAGAGGGATATCATATACCACTTAAAGTTTTCCATGATACACCACTGAAATTTCAGATCTAACTTTGCAACTCTCATGATATGACCCCCAAGATCTGAATCAAGGGACAGAATAGGTAAACCTCATACCCCTGTTTTGCCAAGCCAAGGGAAATTGGCCAGCTTTCATAAGGGAGCTGACCACCAAATACCAATGGTCTTGGACCTTATATAAAGGGAAATTCATACATATAAACAACAAATAAATCTGATTATCTTCATCCTGTTGCTAAAATCTCTCATTGCCACCCTCTAGCTTCACTTGGTGTGGATCGCCTTTGAGTTCTCTCCTCCTTTGCCTCTACCGACAACAGTCATTGAATAGGCCATCATTTTCCTAGGGATTCACAACTAACCACCTCATCCACCACTACCCACATTATTCATGCCCTACACCCATGGAGTTCACAAGCCAAAGTCAAATAAGTAAAAGAAAATTGTCTGAAGTAACAATGGACCTAACCAAAACAAGAAATGTCGCTTGATAAAGTGTAAAGGCAGAAAATGAATTGTGCATCTATTCCAAAAGTCCATCACTGACTCACTGTGAAGGTTCGCTAAGTTCACTGTAAATTAAATTAGCCTATAAGCTGAATATAAAAATAAAATAAAATAAAATTTAAATCGTATCAGAAACATAAACATTTTTGCTTATATTCTCAAGGTTTTTTAGACAAATCTCTGCAGTCATCATTCTGTAAATATCAGAAAAACATGAAAAATCTACAATCTGCAAGTGCTACAACGAATTTAGCACCAATTTATTTCACTATAACGAAAAATCAGAAAAACATGAAAAATCTACAATCTACAATCCATAAAAAAAATCACTATAACGAATTAAGAACCAATTCAACAACACATAAAAAAACTCAATTAATTTCATCAAAGCCCTAAAACCCAGAACAGATAAACCTCAATGAATCAAACAAAAGTTAGAGAGATGGGCTTACGGCGAAATGGGAGAGATTGACGATGGTCCAGGCCATGCCAGGAGAGCAGCCGAAGATGGAGAGAACAAGAAGCCAAGAGAAGAAGAGGATCAAGATGTAGGTTGTCCAAACTCCTGGGTACGTAAACCACTCCGTATTCCTGTTCATATCGACCGGTGGCACAGCCTTCACGTACAAATTCGCCATCCCCAAATGCCCCAAACAATGATACTCACCTGTTTCTTTGATATTTGTTGGATTGATCTTTGTTGGAGTGATCTTCTCGAGGTTGATTTTGATGGCGATGATGATGATGAATTGAAGATTGAATTGGGTTGATTGGTTTTTTTGGGGGGTTTAGGGATTATTAGGAAGATGAAGATGAAGATGATGATGATGAATTCAATGGAAATCTCAGACTTCGCGTCCCACGCACACCTCAATTTAGGGTGTAAATGCAGCGTTAAATTAACTAGTCAATTTTCCATATTTTGAAACTATTTTTTCTTGGAAATTAATCTTGGCTTTCAACTTTATTAATCTTGAAACTAAAAATAAATAAAAAAAAGGAAAGTTTTTTTTAAGGACCTGATATAGATTTATAAGATGGACGGTATATAATATTTTTTTTTTATAAGAGCATCTTCAACGGTGACTCAAATTTTTCATTAAATTTGAGTTTTTTTAAGGACCTGATATAGATTTATAAGATGGACGGTATATAATATTTTTTTTTATAAGAGCATCTTCAACGGTGATTCAAATTTTTTATTAAATTTGAGTAAAAAATGACTCATTTCACTAAATTTGATACCACTCGCTCTAACGGTTTACCTTTCACCAAATCTATCCCGGGACAACCGGGTGGTCGACCGGCCGGTTGACCGGTCGGTTGACCGGTTAGGCAAAATTTTTTTTTTTTTTTTTTTTTTTTTGCGAATTGTCTGAACTTTTTTTTGAACTTTCTGAACTTTTTCGGGACGACCGGGGTGGTCGACCGGCCGGTTGACCGGTTAGGCAAAATTTTATTTTATTATTATTTTTTTTAACGGTTTGAACTTTTTTTTCTAAACTGTTTGAATCTTTTACTGGTTGACCGGTTGGTCAACCGGCCGGGCAACCGGCTGGTTGACCGGTGTACCTCTTTCAACGGTCAGTAACAGTGATTTGGTAAAATCTGTGTCTCGTTCTCAGTTTGATACTTTTTTGCTGAAATCTCATTTTGATATCAATCTGGTGCAACGGTTGGAGCTTGAAAAAGTAGGTTTTTCATCAAAATTTGAATTTGATGCTGGGTTTGGTTCACCGTTGGAGATGGTCTAATAGTTGCGATTTTTTAATATTTTTACAGAAAAAAATTAATTTAGAGAAATTTTGTCTAATTTGGAGAAATTTAATTTTCACAGAGAAATTTTGAATTTTTTTTTGATCATATCAAAGAAATTTCAAATTTCTTTGAATGAGGACTGAAATTTCTCTAAGTTTAGTGAAATTTCTTGGAGTCAAATTTTCTCTGTGAAAATGTTGAGAGACTTTGGCTAATAAAAAAAAAATCTTGACATTTTCTACTACACAAAGTTGAAGAGGGATGTTTCACTAATTTTTTTTTTTTTTTTAAATCTTGATTTTGAATTTGGTTTTTGATAAATGAGTGTAATAAAACAGGTCAATTAATTTCATAAAAAAATTATTTTTTATGATTTCACAATAATCAAGTCGATTATATTCATTGTTTCTTGTAATATATTTCTAACTTGTGATTATCAATGACTTTTTAACAAATGGCCGAATTAATATATATATTTTTTTAAAAAAAAAATTAGTGAAACATTCATCTCCAATTTTGTATGGCAGGAGAGGTTCAAAATGTTTTTTTTATTAGTTAAGGTCTTTCAATGAAATTTTTCTGTGAAATCAGATAAATTTATTTGAATTGGGGCCGAAATTTTTTTGAGTCAAATTTTTTATGAGAAAATGTTGAGAGACATTACCTATTATAAAAATATTATATATCATTTTATCTTATAAAATTTGAATATCATAAATATTTTTTAGAAAAAATCTTATACCATCACATGAATCATTAAATTTTCATAACGAAATAAGTTTTTTAAATATTTTTGATGGTGTCATAATGAAATTTAAGAGGCATTACAAAAGAGGAGCAAAGATTTTTGTGCTAAAGGCAGAGAGTGTGTTTTTTTTTTTGGAAATTGATTTTTTGGCCAAACATATCACAAAAATTAGATAGTACATCCAATATACAAGCACAGTTTCTTCTAGTAGCTCTAGCAAATAAAATAAGGTGATCAGCAAAAAACAAATGGGGAATGGAAGGGTTGTCTTTAGAAGCTTGAAGGCCCTTCCATTCTCCATTTTTAGTTTTAATTCTGATCATGTTGGACAGATTTTCCATGCAAAGAACAAATAAATAAGGGGATAGAGGATCTCCCTATCTAAGACATTTTCCCGTACTAATACTGGGTAAGGCCTCACCATTCCAAATGATGGTAGAATTGACATTAGACACACAATTCATGATAAGAGTGATCCATTCAGGGTTAAGATTAAGTTCTCTAAGGGAGTGGTGGATGAAATCCCAAGAAATGCGATCATAGGCCTTTTCCAAATCAATTTTGAGGACCATACCCCTAGTCCTTACCTTTTTTACCTCTAATGGTATGGAGAATCTCTTGGGTTATGATAATATTATCAGTGGTGGTGCGCCCAGGGATAAAACTGCTTTGGTTGGGGCTGATGAGATTAGAGAGAAGAGGTCTAAGTCTGTTGACAATAATTTTAGTAATAGATTTACAGGTAACATTACAAAGGCTTATGAGGCGAAATTGCTTTAAAGACTCCGGGTTCTGAAGTTTAGAGATTAGAACAATTTGGGTTTCATTGATCTCAGCGAGGACAGTCTTATTGTGGAAACAGTCCTTAATAAAATGACAGACAGAGTTGCCAATAGTATTCCAATTGTTATGGTAGAAAACAACTTGAAGACCATCCTTTACAGGGGCTTTAAAGGCTTTAATACTACAAATGGCATCCCAGATTTCAATGTTAATCACAAGGGCTTGGAGACTAGCATTAACTTCTTTAGTGATTCTAGTTCTAGCAATATTGACCCAATTATCCAAAAGATGAGTTTCTTCGTATTGAAAGAGTTTAGTGAAGTGATCCAAAATATGAGCTTTTAGATCATTACTACTGGAAATCCAATTACCATTATCATCTTTTAAAACCTGGATTTTAGACTTTCTTCTCTTGGTAAGGGTGGAGATATGAAATTTTTTTGAATTGCTATCACCCATGGTAAGCCACTTATTAGATTTTTGGTACCGCAAAATTTCTTCCTGAAACAATGTCATGTTAAATTGTTTAATAAGGTCTTTCTCAAGAAGATGAAGATTATGCGAAAAATTGATGGCTTGGGTTTTTTGTATGCCTTCAATGCGAGCCAGGGATTTCTCTTTTTTTTTAAAGATGTTGCCAAAAACTTCTTTGTTCCAGGTTTTAGCATTAATAGTGAAGTTATCAATGGCTTCAAGCAGTTTAAACTCCATATCATGCCAAGATTTATGAACAACATCAAAGAAAGTGGGGTGACACAACCAAGCAGCTTCAAATATAAAAGGTCTATTGTGAGAGTTAGAGGGATGCATACCTTGAGTGTAAACCACAGTGGAGAATGATCCGAATAGGTTCTTAGAAGGGTCCTCACAATACCTTCAGGGAACAAAGCTTGCCATTGATCATTGCTCATGGCTCTATCCAATCTTTCCATGATGTTAGCCATACCTTGTCTGTTATTTGTCCAGGTAAATCGAGGGCCTACACTTCCTAGGTCTATGAGATTACAGTTGTTGACTCTTTCATTGAATCTTTGTGTTCGGTTCTGGGTTTGAATAGGTAAGAAACTCATTCTCTCATTCTGGTTGGCATAATCATTAAAATCTCCCAGAACTAGCCATGGTTTGTTCGTACAACTAATCGTGTCTTCAAGGTCTTTCCAAAGTGTCTCTGGATAATGGGTTAGGGTTGGCATAGACTGCATTGAGAACCCATTCCTTATAATCCTCTTTGTGAATTGTAGCTTGAATGTATTGGTTTGAGACTGCGGAAGCACAAACATTAACCTAATCGATATCCCAAATTAGCCAAATGCCTCTTGCGCATCCAATTGGGTCAACAATGGTGGATGCTAAGAAATCCATGTTAGTGAAGAAATTCCCTATTGAGCTGTAAGTAACTTTGGGCAACCACCTCTCTTAGCTTCCAATGTGTCATATCTCTCACCATTGACTTGGGTAAATACCTGAGCACCTCTCTCCTCCATAACAGAGTATCCAAATCCCAATTTCAAGAAATCCTTGACAAAATGGCCCAAAGACTCTCTAGATGGAAAGCCAAAAACCTATCCCTTGCAGGTAAAACAACCCTGATTAAGGCTATCACATTTGCTATACCTAACTATCTTATACAAACAATGGAGATCCTTAGGAAAATATGTGACCAAATTGACAAACTGAATAGAAATTTCCTTTGGGGTAGTGCTGAAGCCAGGAGGAAAGTCCATCTTGTGAATTGGCAGTAGGTTTGTAAAAGTAAGAAGCATGGGGGCTTAGGCATTAAACAAGCTAGAAAATAGAATTATGCCCTTGTCTCTAAGTTGGGATGGAAAATTGCCACTAATTCTAATAAGCTGTGGTGTGAAGTTCTCAAAACTAAGTACCTCAAAACTCATTCTCTCTCTAACTGGCCTACTAAGAGGAGGCCTTTCACACTTGGAAAGGCATTATTAGAAACAGAGCTGTTTTGGATAAGAACATTAAATGAGATGTTGGAACAGGGGAGCATATTTCGGACTGACTGGTGGTGTGGAGAACAACCCTTATGCATGACAACCCGAGGAGAACATACTGAAGGTCTAACCAAAGTCAGCTCCATTCTTGATGATGAAGGAAACTAGGATTTAACCTCAATTCACAACCTTATACCCTAACAGACCAAGGAAGCCATTCTTAGAATCCACAAACCCAGGTATGTGATTTATAATGACACACCTCATTAGAAAGGCTCCTCTAGTGGCAAGAACTCTATAGCAGCAACATATCAAGCCTTATCGAACCAAGCTACTGATGGAGTTAACTGGTAATGGATATGGAAGTTAAAGGTACCTCACAAATTAAGAAGCTTTCTCTGGCTTGTCATGCATGAAAGGCTACTAAGCATTCATATGAGGCTCATAAGGAATATTTCAGAAACAGACATCTGCCCCAGATGCCAAATATTTAGAGAAGATATGCACCATTTATTCAGAAGTTGTCCTAAAGCTAAGGTAATATGGTTAAACCTGAAGAACTCTACTTGGTGGTAGCATAACAGCAATATGACTTTACAGGATTGGATTAAAACCCATATCATCAATAAGGACCAAATCAATAATATTCAATAGTTTATAGTCTTCTTGACAGCTCTCTGGCTCATTTGGAAAGAGAGAAACAAAGAAGTGTTTGAAAATCTTACTCAAATTCCTAGCACCATTGTTAACCTCATTGTACAAAAGGCAATGGAAACTCAGGAAGCCTTTCAAGCTATTCTGCATCCAAATGTTAAAGATCCTAAATTGATGCTTTGGTCTTGTCCTATTGCAGGTAAACTTAAGCTTAACACTAATGGATGTTCCAAGGGTGATCTTGGCCAATCTAGATTTGCAGGACTGCTCAGAGATGAAGTAGGCACCTGGGTATGGGGATTTTATGGATACTTAGGCAACTGCACCAGCTTGGAGGCTGAGCTACAGGGCATACACAGAGGACTAACCATAATCATGCAGAAGGGATTGGCCACCATCCAAATTGAAATTGATTCTCAGATGGCTATGGAACTCATTCGTGATGAAGCTGGTGAAAACTCACCATACAGGGCACTCATTAAAGATGTCAACTTCCTTCTAAGAAGATGCCAATGCACTATTGAAACTATTCCCAAGGAAACCAATCAAAGTGCGGATGCTATGGCCAACTTAGGAGTCAGCCAACAGGAGCACCTCATATTTTTGAAAGACCCGCCTAGTTCTATCTTCTCTATGTTAACAGCTGACATGATAAAAGTTGGCTTAAGAAGGGATTCTGATATCCCATGATACTAGCTGTGTACTCTGTTTTTAACTCTTCGTATGAAAAAAAAAAAAAAAAGAGAGAGAGAAAGGGTAGAGAGTGGCTCATTAGGAACTAGTCCAAAGTTTATTTTGACAAATTTAAATTGTTTATATTGTAAGGTCTATCATATATATTGTTTATAAAAAATAAAAAATAAAAAAATCAGAATAATAGAATATTTAATTATATAAGATCACATTTATTCTTTAAAAAATGAATGACAAACATGGTTTTTTTATAATAAACTATTTTTTTTAAATCAATTAAAACTTAATTATATGACTACAAAATATTCAATCAATTTAATTTAATTTTTTTATGAATAATCTTCTTGACTAGAAGTTCGAATAATTAAAATAAGAGCGAAACAAACTCTTCTTGAGCCACACAATATCCTACATAAGATTTAAAAAAAATATATTTGTAGAATTATACACAATAAAATGAATTTTTTTTTCAAAATATTAAAGGCGCCAAAAAAATAAAAATAAATAACAACACACGTATGCATATTCGTAATCCATTTCAATTGTTGCGAAAGCTCAATTTGTCACTTTATGCATTCATCATTTATGCGCCAAACTATTGGTTTAATAACATGATTTCTTTGGGTACAACGGAAAGCAAAATAATAGGAAGCAAACAAGACTACAAACTAAAACATAAAACAAGGAACCAAGAGTTAGATCCTCCTGTATTCCATTCCCACCATGTTAGCAACAATTTGACTTCTAACTTCCACGAGTGGCTCATCCACCACCACCACCACCAACAATTTTGATTGATCAGCTCCCACGTTTGTGAGCTTATACGTACATTGGTTGGTTTCACACAAGATGTATTGAATGGAGCAGTTATAGCGTTGAAGTAGGTAGCGAGAGTCTTCCACAATACTCTTGTAGGGGCAATTCTGAGATGGACCTTTGGTAAGCAATTCTTCAGCCATTATAGAATCTGTCTCAATGATGATTTTGTACACCTTTCTCTAGCACCATTGTGAGGCCACGGTAGATACCCCACATTTCGGCTTCGAGGTCGTAACCACAAAGCCAAACTCTTTTTTCATCTCTAAAGACCTCTACAAAGCCTCTTTCTCCTGGATCTCCTCGCGCACATCTATTCGTATTGAGTTTGATTTTTCCTGTAGGAAGAGGAAACCATTTAATCAGTAGAGGTGAGTACTGGGTGGAAATAACAGAAATGGTAAATGCCTGTTTGATCTCCCTGGCATAGTTATAATTAAAGGATAAGATTTTATGCAAAATAGGGTCAGAATTTTCAATTTTTTTTTTATTCCTATCCTTCTAGATTAGAGAGAGAGAGAGACAACAAAAACAATAATTCATGTAAGGGTCAATTTGTGAGTGAGATTTCGAATTTCTTTTGAGCCAAGAATTTGCTGTGTTTGGTTAGGAGATTTGAAGAGGGATTTGAAAAGGGAAATGAAAAAGATAGGTGACATGTGAATAAAATATATTTATATTTTACCAACCACATTAACGCAAACATCTTTGGTGACAATACAATCACGAAGTAAATGCTTCATGTCTTCAATGTGATAACCACACCTAGGACAAGACGCATTGACAGTCAAGCCTCTTTCATTCTTAACTCATTTGTTTGTATGAGTTCAAAGATTTTAGAAATCTCAAGGACGAATCTAAGTGTTTGATTAAACACTACAGGAAATATCTGTTTTGGAGGCGTATGTTTAACGACGTTTTTTAAAAAGCCACTGTTCATAATATTTAACGGCGTTTTATAAATGCCGCATTTTTCTCTAAATAAAACGGCGCGGTTTCAAGAATAGAAGACATTTATAAACGCCTTGAAATGGGTAAATGGTTTTGTCCCGCACGCTCCTTTCCCTGTTTTACCTTTATTTTGAATCTGATAAGCAAGTATAAACGAAAATGAAACTCAAGTGCTCTCACTCTCGCTCTCTCTCTCTCTTGCTCTCTCTGCGCCGTCTAAGATCTTTCAAAATCGAAGTCAGAGCCATTTCGAAGATCTTACATTGGTGATTCATCAGAGCCATTTCGAAGTTCTCTCTCAAAATCGATTCAGATCAATGAAATCGATTCAGATCGGTGAGCTACTCTGTGTGTGTGTGTGTGTGTGTGTGTGTGTGTGTGTGTGCTGTCTAAACCCTAATTATCTCTGTCAGTTCAGCTATGTGATTCAGAGATTTAGCTCGGTCTCAGCGAAACAGATCGGTGATTCATCAGAGTCATTTCAAAGTTCTCTCTCAAAATCGAAATCGAAGTTCATCTCAGCGATTCATATCGGTGAGCTCCATTGTCTCTGTCTCTATCTCTCTCTGTCTCTATCTCTTTCTCTCAAGCTAAACTAATATTTGAATTCTTTTACATGTCCTGTTGAATCAAGCTGAACTGATATTTGAATCAAGCTGAACTTATATTTGAATTAATCTGAATTGATATTTGAATGTTGATATCTAGTTGTTTGTTCTCACTGAACATGTTGATTGTTTGTTGGTTCATATTTTGTTTATGAAAATATTTCTTTTTATGCTGGGCTGGATTTTCATTTTGTTCTTGTGAAATATTTCAACATGGCTATTATTCTCTAGTTGGGGCTAGATTTTTTTTTATATATTTTTTTAATATTGGATCCAGTTGACTTCCTTTTTTTCGTGTGTTTTTTTTTTTTCTCCTCTCACTTGGGAATAATCATACCTGAATAGTGATGCTTATCTCACTTCTTTTGATTCCATATTGTACATATATCAACTCTGATGGTACAAAGTTTCCATGAATTTGCTCAAAAATTGTTGCTTGTAAGAACTATCAAGCATTTCAAAGAAACTAACCATTTTTTTATTTTTACTGATTTTTTAAGAACTAACCTTTGTAAAGGTAAGTGCAAACATGTCCCCAAAATACATAACAAGACCAGAAGTCACCAAAGGGCCTCCCCTAAGAAGAGAGAAAATACAAAAAATTATCAA